TATATATATATGTGCGTGTGTGTGTGTGTGTCTGATATTGGTAGATATACATGTTTTAGTTTAGCTAGTTAATCTTTTGTTTTTTCATAAATTCAAAGGTGGTATGCATCATCTGACGTGTATGATCCAACACTAACTACCAATCCAAAAGGATTCGCAAGTGCTATCGCGAACTCGGAATGGGAGTTCCCTTTTCATCCACCAGTTCAAAAGTGAGTAACCGGCTATAGATACATATTCAATTGATCTTTTACTTAATAAGAAAAATTTTGCCAATTACATACCTGCCAACTTTCACTCTTTCTGAGAATGAATTTTCCAAGTGATAGTAAAACAATTACCGAAAAACAACCTTATTCAAAAATATATTTATATATTTTTGGGAATATATATTGAATGGGCCCCTAACCCATTCATCATGAAGTATTTACAAGTTGAATTAAAAAACAATTTGAATTATGCAGCATTTAGGTAGCATTACAGAAGATCAAGCATATTTGCTTGATAAATTAAACATGATTTGATATTTAATATAAGTCATGATTTATGCTAAAGTAATATTTAAGTATGCTTTGATATATTTGTTGTAATTATTTAAACGTAGTGGTGGTCAAACTTATTTATTATTATTATTATAATTCAAAAATTTTAATGACATGACATGAGTTTCGTTACCACTTTAAATACAAAATTTAAATCTTCCGGAAAAACCGGAAGAGTTGGCAGGTATGCAGTTAATCAACCTTTTATGCTTTAGCTTCTCTGAATTTTTACCCTTTTGTGTCAGTGGTTTCACAGTGAAACTAATTATTTTTCAGCAGAGATTAAAACAACTGAAAAAATAATAGTTTTTATTCTTTAAATTACAGAATTTTATATAAAATACTTTAATATAATTATTATTTTTAAAGACGCGTTTGTCTCTCGTGATGTCGAGTGACAAAATTCTTCGCTACTGTTTATGACGATAAAACAGATCAAGATGCATTTAATCATCCCACTATTTTCTGCGGATTAGATATTAACCCAATTGTATATATTTATTCATAATATATATTTGTTTACTTAATATTGTAACACATTTGTGTTTAAAAAAGGCTTAAACTGAGTACAAATTGTCTTTTCGAAAGCTACCATTTTAAGATTAAAATTTCGATTATAAATTTAAAACTGGATTTTAGATTTAATAATGCAATCTAGTATACATGGAGTATCTTTGATTTTTTTAAAAATGGCAATCATAATGAAATAACTTTCCTACCGCTTTTTACGTTTTAAGCTGTTTGTTCCAGAAAAAGTAAGTACTTTGAAATTAGATCAGGTCTTAAAGGGTAAATAGTTTAACACTTTTCAATGATAGATATAGCTATAGTCTACCAACTTTCTACGCTTTACGGGAAAATTTCTTCCAGCTGTAGCGAAGTTTATGTTTTATTGCATTATTCTTTGTTTTGTAAATTTGATTTAAGGTAATTTCCAACACCACTACATTTAAATGATTCAAAACATCTCATGAATCACCACTTTGTTCATACTTTCTAGTGGGTCCTCCCTGGCCGAGTGGTATTGCCCGTCAAACGCTGTGCGAATCGTACGTTCGCATCCCACTGTAACCCTGGATGTATTCTCGTGATGTCTTCCTCTGAATTGTTCTATCTATCCTTCTGCTATACAAAGGTTTATAAGCCTACATTGAGTACACAAGCCTGCAAATGTATGCATTTCCGTTAAAGCTAACTTTCTCGTGGTAAACATACCCAGGGGAGCTTTAAGTTCTACCCTTTTTGTAAAATTTTATTCCAGTGGTCGTTAAGGTTCTAATGTAGTATTTTTCATTCATTTAAATTTATTTCTACACGATTAAATGAATTTATTTAAAAGTTCATATGCAGTGTTCCACCTTGTTCCAACTCTGTGGCATGTCTTCGGAACATCCTCAGACATGTTTCCCTGACAGTCGTCAATAGCCCATTGTGAGACGCAGATGAAGTACTTACCTACCTTTTCGAAGTAAAAAATCAATTAATAGAATGGGGAAATTTACTATTACCACTTTAAATACTTTTTTGCCAGGTCGGTATCTATGCATAAGTAGGCCTGCCGACTATTACGCTTTTTGCAAAGTAGAGTGGTAGGCCTTAGAAAACCAAAGCCTCCAGAATTTTTGGCCATTTTGATAACATTTTAAACGCCTCACCACTAAAGAGCGGGAAAAAAACCGTGTTTCATATAAATTTTTAAATTATGCATCTCTAGTGGTGAGGAAAATAAGTTTAAATGAGTAAAAAAATAATACATTAAAACATAAACAAAGATGCCAACTGCTCCGGACACGCCAAAATAATTGTAAAAACGGTAAATAGCTACAGAGTAAATTTTGCAAATATTTGACTATTTTGCTTGCTTTTTAAAAGGTACAGAGATGCCAACTAGCTCCGGACAAAGAATAAATATTTTCGAGTGGTAGTTTATTAATTGTGATTCTTGATTTAATAAATTCAATTGATTAGGTTTTTGTCCACCACTATTTCTAAATAATTCGAAGGCTTATATAATTCACCACTTTGTTATAGTCAAGCTACAGAGATGCCAGCTGCTCCGGACACGCCAAAATAATTAAAAGAGCGGTAAATAACTACTTAGTAAATTATGCAAATATTTGCTATTTCTGCTTTTTTTTAGAAGGTATAGCATGATTTAATTACTATATAGTGGTGAATTACATAAGCCTGCAAATTATTTAGAAATAGTGGTGGATAAAAATCTACTAAATTGAATTTATTAAACTGAGAATCACAATCGATAAACTACCACTTTAAAGTATATATTTGCTGTCCGGAGCAAGTTGGCATCTCTGAAGCTATACTAAACCTTTTAAAAAACAAGCAAAATTAGTCAAACATTTGCAAATTTTAGTTGTATTTATTTACCGTTTTTTAAATTATTTTGACGTGTCCGGAGCAGTTGGCATCTCTGGGTATTGTATTAACCCTTTCGCGCCGACTGTCACAAATACGTGACAGCATGAAACTGTATCAATCAGGATAAAAAGATAAAACTGGTAATCAAAGTAATTCTTTAGCAGTTTATTTGTGGGCGGAGTTATAATTGTTTGATTTATTTAATTCACCATTACTTTGTTCAAAATAAAACTATTTAGTTATACTTTGAACTAACATTNGTGAATTACATAAGGCTACAAATTATTTAGAAATAGTGGTGGATAAAAATCTACTAAATTGAATTTATTAAACCAAGAATCACAATCGATAAACTACCACTTTAAAGTATATATTTGCTGTCCAGAGCAAGTTGGCATCTCTGAAGCTATACTAAACCTTAAAAAACAAGCAAAGTTAGTCAAATATTTGCAAATTTTAGTTGTATTTATTTACCATTTTTTAAATTATTTTGACGTGTCCGGAGCAGTTGGCATCTCTGGGTATAGTATTAAGTAAGTACTGTAAGTGAATTATATAAGCCTGCGAATTATTTAGAAATAGTGGTGGATGAAAATCTACTCAATTTAATTTATTAAACCAGGAATCACAATTGATAAACTACCACTTTAAAATACATATTTGCTGTCCGAAGCAAGTTGGCATCTCTGCATAGACATAGCTACCATTAGAATAAATTTTTACAAAAAATGTAAAGTTGGCAACCCTGCATACGACAGCTATACTAAATCAGCTTTCATTAATACCCTTCTTATTTTTCTTTTTATCATACTATGCTTTATAAATGTTGTTGTTGTGGCTTATTTTTCAACTGTCTGACCAAGGCAAACAAGATCCTTATAAGACCATTTGCAATCAGAAAATCAAAGTATAGGCTAATTATAATTTATTTTTTTTAGATTCGTAGAGAGCATGAATTTTTACTGTCAAATGGGTAATTTAAGAGGGACGATTTCTGTAAATGAAGAGCCAGACTACGAGATTAATTTGTTTGGAGAAAAAATAAGAAATTTAGGTAAAACAAGGTCTTGTTATCCCAATGTTTCGTAAATGTTTGGATGATCATTAATAATTCATTTTACTGTTTCAGGAGATATTTCTCATACCGCTGGATGTCAGTTTGAAAATTTGATTGGATATGTGCCAGAGGTATTTTAAGTATCATTTATACTCATACATGGGAACGTTACTTTTAAAAAGTAACGAGTAAAAGTACTTTAAGCAAGAGTAACGACCAAAAAGTAAAACGTTTTGATTTTAAAAAGTAACGAGTAAAAAGTACTGGTAAAAGTAACAGTACAAAACAAAAAAAAGAAGCGATTTTAAAGTATATTTCAGGGAAATCGCAAATTTAAAATAATCGTAAATTTTATTAAAAAATGTTAGAAAAAATTATTTAAATGTATTAAATTTTAATTTAAAGGTATAAATTTTTAAAATGCAGGAAAATGTTGCGAAATTCCTTTGAAATAGTGAACGTTGAAAGAAACTAAACGAGAAATCGAAATTTTATATTTGCGTATAATAAGGAATTTTAAATTACACTTATTTTAAAACTGTTAAATCTTTAGAAATTTAGTTTTTACATTTGGAATTTTCAGCAACACATTAATTTTACGTTAAATTTATAAATTTAAAAAATGAATTTCAAAAATTTCGAAAAAAAGTTTTTAAAAGGGATAACTTTTAAAATATTTCAGAAGAAAAAAAGATTTTTTTTTTACATTCTACAAATAGTTGTATTTTTTCCTAAAAAAAGTAACGTAAAAATTAGTAAATTTACTAAATCTAAAAAGTAATGAAGTACAAGTAAAAGTACGTACTTTTTTCTTTTACTTTCGTTACAATTAACGAAAGAAAAAATTCTTACCTCATATGCCTATACTGTACGAAAAGAAAAATTTCATAAGAAATAAAATTTTTGTTTGTTTTCAGAATGGTTATGGGTTTCATTTGTTGAAAGCATCAGTCCCAAAAATTTTCAAAAAGTAAGTAAAACTCTGAACATAGATGCGTTGATGAAACTGAAAAAGCCTATTATAGAAAAGGGTTACAGCTAATTTGGGAAAATGAACATAACTGTTAAAAAAAATTATATGCTTTTCATTTCATCTTCTTTAACATTCGTTGTCTATTTTCTCAAACACACATTTTGAGCTTCGTCTGTTTTATAAAAACACATTTTGAGCTATGTCCAACATTAAGCCCGCATTTTGAGCTTTGTTTGTTTTCTTAAATATACATTTTGTGCTATGTCCATTTTCTAGCATGCATTTTGCGTATTTTCCGTTATCTTAAATACACATTTTGAACTATATTGATTTCTAAGCACTCATTTTGCGGTTTGTTCGTCTTCTTAAACATTCATTTTGAGTTATGTATATTTTTAAGCATGTATTTTAGGCTTTGTCCGGTTTTTTAAGTACTTTTTATAGCTATGTACAAAATAAAAAGTTCTCAATCAGTAAGATTAGTTGCATGAAATCATTCCGGAATATTTTTTCCCAAATACGACATTTTGTAAAGATGCATAAAATATCTTTATAAGAAACTACGTTAGAGAATTTATACTTTGAAGATACACACTTAGAGAATACACACATTTTCCAGAGTTGACTACTTTTTCAGTTTTAAATATTGCTGTATCATAATATCAGGTTAAAATTTACACATTTATAGTATTATTAAAATGATAACATACTGTTCATTTTCTTTATAGATAAACTACAAATATGTAATAATTTAATTATCCGTCTTTATCTCTTCTTAGGAGAAATAAAATGGAAATTTATAATAAAATAGAAATCTTATTAGGAGAAATAAAATGGAAACCTTGAATCTCAGCGTGTCAAAAAAAATGTCTGACGACATTTGGGCACTACCATTGTTGCCATCGCCAGTAGAAACCAACAAAAATGGCAACATAATCTTTCTCAAGATTATTGAAAAATATTTAAATTTAACTACCACTCAAAAATTAAGAAAAAAGAATTTATGAATTTACTTAATATTTTCGTAATCATATCTAGGGTAAAAAAATAATAAGTATTGATTCTCAATCAAGGTAAATCTTGCACCCGATAGCGAATAAGTATTTTCGAGTGGTTGTTCTTTACTGTGTGATTCTTGGTTTAATAAATTCAATTTATCAAGGTTTTTATTTAAATTATTCACCTCTTATCATGATGTGGAGTGACTCCGAACACGCCATCAGTCTAAGTCTAAATGATGACGTCATGTTAAACTTTCTAAAAAGCAAGCAAAATTATCTAAATATCAGTAATTTTTAGTTTGTATTTACTTACCGTTTCTTTAAAATTTTTTTGGCGTATCCGGAGCAGTTGGCATCTCTGCATACATATAAATTGCATTTATCTCAAGAGAATTATTTACTTTAATTTGCTTCATTCTTTCTTAGTATGTCTGCGGGATTCCTCATTGATCCTCTCGGAGATATTAGCGTAATCAAAGAAATTGATGTAAAGACATCCAGTCAAGTAACGCCATTGCAACCTATAGAAGCGAGATTTTCAACAGGTTAGTTATCTAAAAAAAAAAAAAAGTTGAATTTACAGTATGCAAATTCCTATTAAATTAAATAGATGACTTACAAACCATGTCTTTTTGTGATGGTAAAATATACTCCCTTTCTGCCAAATCAGTTGCTCCATTTTAATACTTTTTTACCGATTATTGATATTGATGATTTCATGACCTTGTTTTAGTATTTTTCAGTAATTTCTGTGTGCTATGAACAACATTTAATAAACAAGCATTCCTCCTTAAATCGATAAACATTTAATTTTAAAAATCCATGATTCGCAAGCCTTAAAGCCATGCCCCATTTTGTAGGGAATCTCCCCTGTAAGGAATCACTCCTTGGAATCTCTACACAATTGCAGAAAGCTGTCTTCTAAATACAAAATCGTGAATTTATGAGTACGAGTAATATAATTTCATTTGCGTCGATCTACTAAACTGCATCGGAGGTTATTTATGACTCCATCTTCTTTAAATGCAGCAACTAATTTAGGATAAAATTTTCGACCTACATGGTCATATTCTGTTTAAAAAACTTTGATGAGGGATAAAGAAATCAAAAGGAACTATTTAAGTGTTTGTTTACTTAAGAAAACTGAAGTAAAAAGCGTTCTTTTGAATATTACTATAATTTTAGAAAAAAAAATCATACATAAATATCGTAATTCTAGAGAATTTAGCATTCACTTCAACATTACAGAAACATTTCTAATATTTTTTAGAAAAATGCGTTTACTTTTTCTTATATCCGTCAATGAACAGCTGACCCAGCTTTGTTGTTGTTGTTGCAGTTCATTTACGTCGCACTAGAGCTGCACAATGGGCTATTAGCGTCGGTCTTGGAGACATCCCTGAGGATGATTCAAAGACATGCCATCAAAATTTTGATCCTCTGCAGAGGGATGGCTCCCCTGCTTTGTTAGCCCGACGCCCTAGTCGAGCACTTTACGGTAGAACAGTTTAACGAGGACGTATTCCACACACCCTCGGTCCCTACGCAGACTGATCCAAGTAGTCACCCACCCGCACACTGACCGCAGCTAGTGATGCTTGACTTCGGTGATCTGGTGGAAACCGTGTCTTTGCGATCAGTCCACTGCAGAACCAATATTTGGGTTTATGACTACTAATGTTCTACTCCGTAGGCTTGTAATTTTGAACCAACACGGAAGACAAGGAAACTCCTGTATCAGTACCCCCAGAGGTATTGATTTGTTATGGGAACATGGAGGACTTTGCGACTCGACAGATTTAACTTGCATCAGTCACCGTTTACTAGGCGGGTCTACGGCGTTTCATGGCCACTGCGTAAAGCCATATCCCCTGCACATCCGGAGGTCCGAAGGACCCTGGCTCCCCGAACACGGAAACACACAGCCGTCACCCAGATTCTTAGCAGGCACTCAGATGAAGCGTGTGTGATCCCGCGCATCTAGTGCATAATCCTACAACCCTACAGACTCACTCAAGCTCGTCTGTCTGAGCTTTCTGAAAGGAAAAAGTTAGTGCATAGAAAAATAATAGTTACATCGACAAGAAGTTACAACAGTGGCGAAAATAAAATATTAATCACTCCATAGCGTCCTCTGTAGTCCACTCATAGCGTCTTCCAACATCTTCCAAGGTTGCAAACTCATTGTCATCACGTTTGTAAGTAAGTGGTCGCTATTTCTCTGTTTGAAATCAATAAAGTTCAGAGGAATTCAGAAACTTTCCAGTCGGAGGATGCCTTGATGGGGTGGGGGTTGCCTCTCCCGCTGTCGGGCCTTGACTTTAATTTCCTGCAGTGGGTTTGGCTCCACCGCCCTGTGGCTTTGAATTCGGAACCAGCTCCGCCTCATCTACCTGATGACGAGATTTAGTGTTGCCATTTGACGTGCGTGACTCGGGGACATACACATATGTGACAATGCGGCTTTGGGTTCACCGTATTGATCCGAGGTAGTCCATTAAGGCTGACTATTTGTATGTAGAGAAATTTGAAACGAAAGAATAGTGAATAGCATTATTTTATATTGTAGGGGCGCCTTATAAATTAGATGGAAGTATGTCTGATGTACCTATAGTATTATATAGTGGTCAGAGGCAAAGCATATTTATAAAACTTTTTTTCATCAAATTCTCATTTCAAAATAGTACTGGCTATGGTTTATTTTTATCAGGGTAAGCAAAATTTTTTAGTTATCTCTTTCACTTCTTTGTAAATTCTTTGTAATTATATTTCTTGTGAAATTGCATCAGCTTCTAACAAGTATAAGAAATAAACATGCTTATACGTAATGATGTAAGAATCTGTTTCCGTTTAGAATTCTTGGCAGATAGCGTTGAGAAATTCTACACTTTAAGGCAATTCTTTGAGCACGTCAGATTATTCTATTGAACAATTCTTTAAGCAATACTCATTATTCTATAGCGCAATTCATTATATAAAAAGTGCTTGTGACCTTTTTTTCAAAATTTTTAAATTTAGAGTAATACATAATGAAACTTTAGCTTGCATTTTCTAAAATAAAGGAAACAGTTCGAGGCTTTTGGTTAGTCTAAATGTTAAGAATAGATTGTGAAACATACGTTATTTCGGCGATTACTGATTCGCGTTGATTTATAAAAAATGTATTAAATTAGCTGTGTATACAAAATCAAGTTTTCTTAGAAAAATGGTTAAATCTAGCAAAAGAAGTATTCTGAATGTTTTTGATAGACAAATAGTGTATAGGGGAGAAATATTCTACCAGTTTTGCCTTTTCGCTAAACGGCCAGTAGGATAAAAATAATGAAATGCATGTATTTCTATGATTAGTCATACTCAGCAAAATACGTTAAATTTAAATTCGAAAAAACACGAGAATATTTATAAAAAGGAAATACACCATTGATTTTCTTTTCTGTTGTGTAACGGTTGGATATGTTTCCTTTAAATAATTTCTGTATTTGTCTTGGTTTGTTGAATATGTTTCTTTTAAATAATTTCTACACTTGTATTGAATTGTTGAATATGCTTCTTTTAAATAATTTCTAAATTTGTCTCGATTTCTTTGCAAAAATAGTGAAGTGTCTAATGAGATAACAAAAGCCAAGATCCCCATGCTTCACGCATTGTGTCCTAAAGGTAAGTTTTCGCAATAGAATTACTAAGATTATATATTTGGAACATTTATTAGGAGTTTTTTAAATCATTTTTTAGTGGTACTTTACGTTAGTGTTAGCTGAAATGTGAAATTAAACTTCCGATCCAAAACGTTTAAAATCATACATGCACGCTTAACTGTCAGCTGTCTAATTTAGGGCAGAGGAGTGCGCTTTTTTTTCTGTGGGGTCATCTATGGCCAAAAATACGACTTTGCCACGTACAATCATAGTTTGTTAGTAACGAAATAAGTCACAATTCATTTTGTAGACGATACTCATTTACACATCTTGCATCTATCCACTGATAGACATTTTGACCTCAGAGATTGATTTTTCACCGGTCTATTAATAAGTCACTTAACTCCGATTCAGTACCACCAGAGGTGTTTTTATAACCAACGTTGAACTACCGACCCAATTTTTAGGGTTTACAACTACTAATGTTCAACTCCGTTGCCTTGTAATTTTGAAACCAATCCAGAAGACAAGAGAACTCCTGCATCTAGTATTGGGAGAATTTTGCCTTCGTGAAGGAATTTTTGATGGAACTCACCAGGGAATGGAGAAACTCCCATGGTTAACCCGATGGCAAGGAGACTCTAACCCATGATCCGTATACCATTGAGGATGTTTTACGTCAGCACTATGATCGGTACAAGCTGGACGCGGAATTCGTATCGACCAGCTATTGCTGAGATTCGAAACCTGTTCACCTCATTGAAAGGCGAATGTTTTATCCACTGATCTATCATGGTTCCACCAGTGGTACTGAATTGTTAGGGAACTTGGAGTAATTTGTGACTCGACAGATTTAGCATGAACCATTCACTATCTTAAATAAGGAAAGTCTTCGGCCAGCGGGGGATTCAAACACACGACCTCTCGGAAATGGGCCCAATGCAGGGCTGGCAAATTTCTATCATTTTGTAAATTTTTTAAAAATTTATTTAAACTTATTTTCCACACCTCTGCACGTAAAAGATTTTAAAGATCATACGCAACGCCACTTTGTCCTATTTTTTCCGCGGAGAGAATTTTAACATCTTGACAAATTAATCAAAATTTCTGAAAGCTTTGGCTTTATTCGAAGCTCTTATAAATAGTGTCCTTTTTACAAAAGGACATCTTTTTGCAAGGGAAATATTTGCACCAACCAAAGTTCATATTCGAAGCTCTTAGAAATGGAGTACTTTTTACAAAGGAAGTATTTGCATCAACTTAAATGTGCGTAGCAATTTAAGAGCAGATTTCCCTTTTTAAT